GGTTCAGGGTATCTCCTAGTCGAGCAGTCTCGACTAGAGTCTTCTTACTTGTTGTTTGTTACTTTTTATTTTAAATTACGTTTTCGGAAGAATTATACATAAATGTGTGTATGTATATACATATATACAAATGAAGCAAAGTATACAATATTCGTTTAAATTGGAATGTGATATAAATATACATATATCCATGAATCTAATTAACGACGCCATCCATATTCCCAGCGGCAGCCCACGGATCCGGCGGATTGTGGAGAATCGCAGAACTCCTGCTGATCGTAGTAGGCACACGTGGGACTACGGCAGTGGTAGTTGTAGCAGTACGACGAGCAGGATGTCATGCGGCCCGAGGCACAGCCGCTACAGTCATAACGATCTTGTTGGAATAATATATGTACATCAATAAATATCGTTCAGGTTGATCTTTTACTGATCTTTGATACAAAGATCAATATAACTTAGATCAATTAATATTATTTCATATGAGATATCTAAGTTATAGATCAGTATTAGATATTGGAATATTGAATATGAATCGAGTAGACAGCATCAATCAGTATGAAACAATGTGATGTTTGATCTTTTTCTACTCATTCACTAAAGTGAAATGAGTATATTGGTTTTCGCGCAATTTCGGAGCTATTGAAGCTAGAGACTTGAAATTCGGAACACATACTCGTGTATATCTCCTATTTATAAAGTGTTAAAATTTTCCTGATCAGCCCACTATGGGCGTGGGAAATCAGAAAATTCATTTTCCAATATGCCACAAATCATATTAGTTGAAGAGCTAGAAGGCTGAAATTTTGAATATAGATCCGCATCGACCACCCAAGATCACGTGCTATGGCGGATATATCTACGCCCGTTAGAGGTGTGGCAAATCTGATAACACTGTATATCCTATGGTTTCTAAGTTAGAACTTAATGTTATGAATCTATTATGATTGATGCAAAAATAAGATGTCTACGCCTTTTACTTCTTACTTGTTTTGTTCTTACTTAAATAAATTTTAACTACCAGTACAATGAAATTATTAATTTACGATCCACTTACTTGATATTCGCGGACAACTGCCGTGCAGCTGGCAATCGGAGTTGAAGTTGGGCGGCATGGTAAGCATTTGGATATTGTTCTCGTTCCAGCTTAAAGCTCTGGCTGGCTTTAAAGCCATTTTTTTGGCGCTGCATATGTCCCCACATATTTGCTCTTTGGGATTGAAGCACTGCCAGCGATTGGTCTTCGATGAGCGTTGACAAGTGCGCGGTGCAAGAACTGTACAGCATTTGGTCGGTGGCTTAGATGTAGGTAAAATCGGTGGTACAGTCTCCGCCTCTTCAGATTCCTCTACATAATCCCTATAATCCGTTGGCAGAGTCAGCGAAGCATTAACTGCCAGATGCTGCACATTGTTGAGAACAATGTCGGGTTTGCCCTTGTTTTCCTGGATGATTTTTCGTTCGAGGTGAATCGGTGCCACTTCCACAGGCTGGGGATAAACGCATTTCAGACCCGACCAATAGGTACCCTTAGGGCATCGCGGCTCCACACAATGATCATCGTTATATACTCCCTTACCACAATAAACCAAATGGCATGAGTCTTTGATGAGCACTGTGCCCTTTGGGCATTGGCGCAATGGAGCAGGAGGCGGCTGGGTGGTTGGTCTTTTGGTTGTCGTTGTCGTTGTTGTGGTTGTTGTTGATGTGGTTGTTGTTGATGTGGTTGTTGTAGTAGGTGCAGCAGTAAGAGGAAGCACAACGATTGGATAGGGTGTAACAGGTTGATTCGGACATGGGAGAGGTTGAGTTTGTACAGGAATAGCCGGAGAGGGTGCCACCGGTTGATTCGGACACGGAAGAGGCTGAGCTGGAACACTAGGCTGAGCTGGGCAAGGCAGAGTCTGGCCTGGAACTGTTGGGCAGGGTGCTACAGGCTGATTCGGAGAAGGGATAGGTTGAGGTTGAGCTGGAACGATTGGGTAGGGTGCCACAGGTTGATTCGGACATGGGAGAGGTTGAGGTTGTACAGGAATAGCCGGAGAGGGTGCCACCGGTTGATTCGGACACGGAAGAGGCTGAGCTGGAACACTAGGCTGAGTTGGGCAAGGCAGAGGCTGACCTGGAACTGTTGGGCAGGGTGCTACAGGCTGATTAGGACAGGGTGTAGGCGAAGATTGCACAGATGTAGAGGGAAGAACAGTCTGAGACGAGCATGGTGAAGTTGGCATCGCATAAATACTAATTAAAGCACAATTCGTACCGCTTTGACAGGGACCTATAAATATTAATTCAGCACAAATAATCGCTTAGAGTCGTACATCTAATGTAATTTCACTCACTCGAACCAACCGCTGGGAGCACACAAGCCCCATTTTGGAGCACGTAGGGCGCAGTACATGAAACGCTAACGGAGCTCTGTTGACATTGAGCATTGGTAAGATCAAAAGCCAGCAGCAGGTAAGGAAGAATCAGTACTTGATAGGCGAACATGCCGATTATAAATGAGCATTGAATAGAAAACGTTGCTTTGCAACTAGCACTTCATCAGATTAAAATACAAAAAGGTTATCAAAGGTCAAAAATATAAAGTGGCTCCATCTAAGCATCCGGAAAATTTAGCAGTTGTTTAGTTGTCGATCAAGCCCAGCCACTAAAGCATCGCGCCAAATAAGAGTCGACTTCAATGTGGAAGATTTTGTCAATTCTCTGCGTATTATGCGTCGTGGAAGGCTATCAAGATGTCAATGGCAAGGTAGTAAATAAAAACGCATGACTTTAATATATACTAATTGGATTTTTGCAGTGGATGGAGTGTCCACAAGGTTACTCAGCTATCAATGGCATGTGCTATATCACGAGTATGTGTCCGGAAGGTGAGAATATACGCAAATATAAAATACCCATATAATACATACAAATGTATTTCGGCTAGGCTACCGTCTACATACGGATGGCATGTGCCATTTGATAAATCCCGCACCTTGCCCATATGATACCAAACCAATGACCACCACTCCAAGCCCATATAATGAGTTGCCCACAACCTCCACTATTACCAGCACCAGCACCAGTACCACTACCACGACCCTACCACCTGAGGAAGACCCGATCATCAACTACGATCCAACGCCAGTTGAAGAGCCCGATGAACAGGTTCGATGTCCACCTGGCTCAATTTACTTTAGGGACGAATGCCGCAAGATACTCTGCACTCAGGGCGAATACTATGCTGGTCGTTGCGTGTCGCCCGCCTGTCCAATGGGCACCGTGTGGTGGCGCAAGCAATGTCAAGAGCCTGGTTACATAACAACTGTATTGGAGATCGATAATGTGATAAAAAACAAGCACGAGTATCTCACAGCAACCGAAAATGTGAACAAAGTGGAGTATAGGACCACTAAGCCCTACGATCCCAGCACGGATCAGAGTCATGCATACGTGGAGTCAAAAGCCAATATTGTTGTGAAAACCACGACACCAGCCAGCATGACTCAGCAAATCTCTGCAGGTTGCTGCACGGTTATTAGTCCACGTATCTGCCGACAATATGAAATCAAATGGGTCTGCTTCAATCATAAGCGAAAGTTTTGCAACCCAAATGTTTGTACTAGTCCAGTAATTTATATCAAGCCTCCGGAAATTGTAGAGCTGGACGATCCAAAAATGTTGGTGATGCCACCAAATCCCCCCCTATCGAGTTGCGTGACTCCCGATTGTCCTGAGAGCGGTAAATCTGTCTGGAAATGAATTGAAAACTATTTATTTTATGTGGCTTAAAAATACTTTTAGAAATGCTGAATTGTTCTGGTTGTGCCAAGGGTTTGCGTGAGTTCTGCTCGACATCCTGCTACTATTACTTTTGTCCTCGTAATAGTTGCGAATTCAAGGAATCCGAGGACTTTTGTTCTATATATCCCGGCGAATTCGGCTGTAATAAAAACTACGGATGCACCTGGAGTTGGTGTAAATGAGATAAATCTACAAATATTTACCCATTTTTAGCTAACTTTCCTTCAAATGATGATATGATGTTTAAGTAATACAATTTATACTTATAATTAAATACTATGAACCACTGCCATCTAATTCCAAGAAGAACCGCTTTTTTATTATGGAAAGGCAGTTTTCATGCATTACTTTGTTGACAGCGTCTGTTGACAAAATTTTTGAATTTACGCGCCTATTTTTCTGACTCAGCTGTTGTTTTCAATAGTTGCCACCTGATGAAAAGTGCGTTCGTCTATCAAATATCAAATAATGCACCAAATATGACCGAACTCACAGCTTATCGACTTGGCAGCACTGTTTTGTAAATCAGCTGATGTCGTGGTGCCCGTTTCGACAGTGCTTTTGCTCATTTCGGTTTCAGTCGTTAAAAGAGAGAGCAAGCGTCGATGTTTGATTGCTACGCGCGCGTGTTTTGTGTACATAGTGTTAAAACACAAAATTTGTTTGTGATTCAAGTAAAAAGTGAGTGAGTGTGTTTTCGCATGTGTGTGTGAGAGTGTACGCGAAATACAGAAACAACAAAATAGAAAATAAATAACGGTCGTTGTTCTCGCTACTTTAGGGAAGGCGGCAAATAGCAAAAGTTCAATCCAAAATTCGCAGTTGCCGTTGCCGCGTTGCACTGTGCACCTGCTCCTAACGTTCCCTTTGTCATTTTGTTGGTTGTCGGTGTCTTCGTTGTCGTCGTCGTTGTTCTTCGGTGGAGTCAAAAGAGGCGTCCCGCAAGTCCTTCGAAGGTGCCAACACCAAAAGGTAGTTTTACATTTACATATACATCTATGTGTGTATGTGACTTGCAGTTTTATAGTGTCAAGTTTTATTAGCGTGTTTGCCACGGCAATCGTAAAATTAACAACGGCAGCAAGAACAATGACAAACAATAAACGAATCCAAATTTGCGCTGTTGTATAAGAGGATTGTTTATGCCGCCATAACAACATTCAACAAATATATAGCAATCGAGCAAATATACAACTAAATATCTAATTGCATGTATCTATGCTTATGATATAGCGAATGCAGCGAATCGGTTCTCGACTTGCCTTTGCGCTCTTCCTCCTCCCTCTCTTTCTCACTGTCTATCTCATTCTCCTTCTGCTGCTCCCTCGCTTTGCTAGCCTGGGTAGCTGCATACATACATAGCTATCTCGCACACATTCCGCGAGTGTTAATTGGAAAAAACTACAAACTTCCTGTTTTGGGGAAAGGGTTGAATCTAGCCCAGCTCAACCACCTACCCCCACCACCGCTCAACCAATCAGCTTGCTCATGCACATATACGCTCGAATATGCATGTGTATATGAGTATAACTGTTGCCGTTGCCGTTGCCGTTGCCGCAGACAACATGAGCTTTATTGCGGCAGCCTAACTCAACACTGACCCCTCCCCTTTCCACATCCGCATCCACATCCCCATTACAAAGGGCTCTGAACGAGTGGGTGTATATATAAATATATATATGTATATATGTGTGTGTGACGTGTAGCCACATAGAAGTTTTGTGCTTTCTGCTGTATGGGTATTTGTCAGAGTGCGGGCGTTGAAGTTTTAAGTGCAAAATTTTTTCTATGTTTTGCCTACGTGCTTCTTCTTATTTGCTCCAGCGGGAGCTTTTTATTGTATGTGTGTGCTATTATTAAAATACCACATGCACGCACACAGAGAGGCGTAGACAGGGAAACAGCAAAAAGAAAAACTATACACAGTGGCTGCGAGTGTGTGTGCGGGTATGTGCGCCTACGAGGCGTTGGCGTTTTAGCTAGCGAGAGAGTGTGAGAGCGACAGAGAGAGCACATAGACCTAAGGAGAAGCCGCAAGAGCGAGGAGATTAGTTAATAAATAAATCAAAAAAGACAAAAATTAATGTAAATGGAGGCAACAACCAAAGCATCAGAAGAACTCCTCAATAAGAATTTAAATGCAGCATCGCCCCAAACGTGCCCCTACCACGCATACCTTAAACCCTACACTTGTTAGACATAAACGCGGCCGCACATTTGCCATATGTGTCCGTTACCGTTGTTGTTGTTGTTGTTGTTTCTACTGCTGTTGATACGGCTGTTGTTGTTAAGATTGCAATAAAGCGTTTTACGGCCCTCCTGGCTGCTGCTTATTGTTGTTTTTATGACAGTTAAGCTATTTTGCGTATGACATGTTTGGCAGAAGCCAACAGCCTCGCAGTCGTCGCCGTCATCGCCATTGCGGCTGTCGACGCTACTTTTAAATGCACCCTTTGCCAGCGCCCTCTGCTCTCCGTCACTCTTTCCTCTTTCTCTCTCTCTCTCTCTCTCTCTCTCTCTCTCTCTCTCTCTCTCTCGGCACCTTTATATTGCAGCCCAGAAAGTTTGTTTGGGTTAGCTGGCGTTTTAATTTCTGCGTCTATTAGCCACAACCACACACATACACACACGCACTCGCAGTTAAACTTTGCTATAACTGTTGTTGAGTACGAAGCGGTAAAATAGGGGGCAGGGAGGTTTCGTTTGCAGCTACTTTTACGCATGTTTTCGCACAGCGCCAAAGATGTCGGCTTGACATAAATTGTGTCTGCCAAATGTGGCAAACTACGACAAAAAAAACCAAAACTGGGACACGCCTACAAAAAAAAGGCATAAGAAACCAACAGTTGCCTGACTTGTCGTATGTAATTGCTCGCCACAATGTAAATGACAAAAGAATGCTGCACAGTGGGCCCTCCTAGTCAATGTTGTGTTTTCTTTTCTAATAACATTTTTAAAGTAGTAAGAACGTCGCAGTCGGGCGTTACCGGCTGCGGAATACTTATTCGCACTCCATAAGCAATAGTAGCCAAGTGTAACTCTAATACTGAAAAAAATGCAGTTTTTCTCGATTTGCCACGCCCCTACTGGGCGTACACACTTGATTTTTTTTTGGCCAGTTCTTAGAACAAGCTAACGGTAAGCTAACTGCAAAATTTGGATTCTTACACTCCAAAAATGTCAACATTACAGGGTATTTTCCGATATGCCACGTCCCTAGAGAAGCGTACAAATCATTTTTGGCTCATCGATAGAGGAGGTTACTAGTAATATAGATATCCGAATTTGAACTTTTAGCAGTTTGCCACGCCCTCTGTGGACGGGCTTCTATCCATAGAAGCTTTTTGGCCTTGGGTGGTCAGCCCAATTTTAACACATTATAGATTGGAGATATACACGAGTATGTGCCCCAAATTTCAAGTCTCTAGCTTCAATAGCGCCGAAATAAACTGCGTTCCTACATTTAAATTTCGTGAATGAGTATAAAAATGGATAGAATAAAATGTTAAAAATTTAAATTTACCAGTATTATAATGATGAAAATTATACAACTGCTATATAATTGCAATCTACCAGTCTTGCAATGTCGAAATACCCGCGCGTAAACGTATTTAATAGAATGGACACTAACAAATGAATCTAGACCAATACGAAACCCGAACAAAACATTGTATATTTCGCAGAGCATGGGAAATTCGCTATTGCGACCCACGGTGCGCAAACAAGTTGGTGCGCTGTAACTAAAAACCACAAAAGCTTGGCAGCCCAGCTACCCGCTGCCCCTCGTCGACATTGCTGCCGCCGCAGTCGCTCTCACGCCAATCGCGCTGCCCATGGCTCAGCAGGGCTCCGCTCTCTCTTCTCCGTTCTCCACTCTCCATTCTCCGCTCTTCGTTCTACACTCCTCGCTCTTACACAGTCGACTTTGAGAGCTGTTGCTTCCGCTGCCGTGGTCTGGGTGTAAAAGTATCTCTCTGTGGTTGTTGTTGTTGGCTGTACGTGGGCGGCAACGCAGCCGTCGCCAGAGCTGAAATCTTAGGCCAAGTTTCAAGCTTGAAATGCTTTGACGATGACGTCGTCATCAGCGTCGTCAGCGTCGCCGTCAATCAAATTGTGCGCTCTCAGCGGTGTTCGCCGCGTCTCATTTGGTTGCATGTGCTTTGGGGTTTGGTTTTGGTTTTGGTTACGGTTTTGATTTTGGCTTTGGCTTTGGCTTTGCGTAGTTTGCGTACTTTACACTCATTCACTCGCCCCGGATTGACACTCGCACTCCCATTCGCACCCATTCACAATGCAAATTGATAGCGCAAACGATCAAACATGCAAACATTTGATGGTATATACGCATCGAATAACTCCTGGATTTGCCATACGTTACTTTATGCATTATTTATGTACCCTAGTCTCTAAGAGAAAGCGAGAATATTACTGTTACAGAATTCATATGAGAGTACGGAAAATGTTTAGACCATACATATTTTGTTAAGGAATGACATTTTGAATTATTGACGTTGCACTGTTTCAACTTTCTGGACATATTTATTATGCTTATCACAGAGTATCTATCGTACAGTCAAGCCTTTTCTCAATTGCAGCGATCTCACTTCTTTCTGCTTCTTCTTTCACTTCAACTGTTTTTTCGTCGTCGTTTGTCCATTTAATATTCATTTATTCCACCAAGCTTGTTTATTTTTCTTCTTCTATGTATTTGAGTTCTTGTTGTAGTTGTCGTTGTTATTGGCATGTGTTGTATTTGCTTTGTGGCCGAAAGCCGCAATCGAGAAATCGCATTTGAGCCATGGCCATGATTTTGAATTTGGTTTTGAATTGGAATTCAAATTTAAATTGAGTTTAAGTAGCTGCAGCACCAAAAAAACAAAAAACAAAAAACACGCACACACACAATACTCCTAAAAGGTACTTGGCACCTATTCCGATAACCATATACAGCCACTAACAGCATTTCGATGTGATTTGTTGATACAATAATGAATACTGAAGCTATGTTGATTATACGACTGAAGTAGTCTAAATGAAATGCAGTATACAAATAAATACATACATTACGTCGTATTCTTACTGTTCCTAAATTGCGGGAGTGTTTATTTATTATATAATATTCTTTTATGAATCTTCAATTGAATCTGTAAATATATATATATACATATATATATATATATACATAGAGTATATACATAATAGAACAAAAAATACGTAGCTCGTTCTTTGTTAGCTTAAATGTTGTTTGGTTTATTAACTGAGTTCAAATAAGCAGCGGCAACTGGTTTATCG